AGAGGCCGACATCCCTGGTCCAGAAGGGAGGCCTCAGCACCCACGGCATCACAGGGCCTCTGCCAGGACACCTGCTGCAAAGGCGAATCCGAATTGGACCCAGCATGGAGCACAGACAGCCCTGCTTCTAGGGCCTCAACTGCGGAAGGGATGCGGGAGAACCCAGGAGACACCAGGCCACCCTCCTGCCCTGCTGAGCACAAGACCCGCTGCCAGCCTTACCACACCTCTGTGTGCAACACACCCCTCCCATCTCCCTCCCTCTCAGCCCCACCTGTTACTTGTTTTTAAAAGCAAAGGGATCAGTCCTAGCTCACAGGTTGCAGGGCTTCCAGGAAGGGAGCAGAAGCAACGGTGCTCCTGGTGCAGGGGTGGGAGGAGGCAGGGAGACGCCGCAGGGAGCCACATGTAACCGGCGAGCCCTGCCTTGGCCAAAGGTCAGGAGGCGGAAGGGGTACGAGAAAGAACAGCACTAGGGCTTCCAGGGGCGCCGGGCCTCCACTCCCGGGCTCCAAGCTCTGCACCCTGGTCGAGTCTGCAATCCCCACAGCTGTGGGGTGAAGTAAGCCCACCAGCCAGGCGAGGACAGACGCACAGCAGGGTCCACTCGGACTGCAGAACCCAGCCAGTGGTGGCGAACAAGTGTGCACCCTCGTGTGTCCTTTCTGTTGATCACAAAATGGAACGGATGGGATGGAATCAAAAGGGTAAAAAACAGTAACTGGAGGCAGAATACAAGGGCGCTTTAAAACGCTCGTGGAAAAGTGGAATTGAAAGATGATGTTGGTGCATTTTTAGAGAGACTCATGGATAAGGCTTTCCTAACACCCATTTCCATGAATGTTCTGAGGGCAGAGCGAAGACTGGTTATGTCAGGCTGCTCCTAGAAGGCGGCCTCCACAGGAGAGCAAAGAAGACCCAGGTAGCTTTCTACTTCCAGAAATGGGCTGGGATCTCAGTGGTTCTGAGTTCCCTGACACGGTGCCCTGAAAAGGACATGTCCCCTTGTTGTGTTCCTGGCAAAACATCCCAGACTCATCAGTGAGGGACAGTCTACAAGCAGCCCAAAAACTCTTTAAAAATGTCCATGTCACGAGACAGACTTAGCAACAGGTTCAGATGGAGGAAGAGTGAAGCGGTTTTCTGACTAAATGCCATGTGTGGGGCTGCAGCTGTGACACAGTGGGTTCACTCTCCCCGGAGATGCCAGCATCCATGTGGGAGCTGGTTCGAGTCCCGGCTGCTCCACTTCTGATCCAGCTCCCTGCTAATGCACCTGGGAAAGCAGTGGAGAATGGCCCCAGGTGCTTGGGTCCCTTGCCACGCTCTGGGAGACCCAGATGGAGACCCTGTGTGAGGGACCTGGAAGAGGCTCCTGGCTTCAGATTTGCCCAGCTCTGGCTGTTGTGGCCATTTGAAGAGTGAATCAGTGGATGGAAGATCTTTCTCTCTGCCTCTATCTTCTAAATTTATAAATAAATATTTTTAAAAAAGATACATGCTGGCCAGCGCCATGGCTCACTAGGCTAATCCTCTGCCTGTGGCACTGGCACTCCGGTTGTAGTCCCGGTCAGGGCGCCGGATTCTGTCCCGGTTGCCCCTCTTCCAGGCCAGCTCTCTGCTGTGGCCAGGGAGTACAGTGGAGGATGGCCCACGTGCTTGGGTTCTGCACCCCATGGAAGACCAGGAGAAGCACCTGGCTCCTGGCTTCGGATAGGCGCAGTGCGCCAGCCATAACGGCCATTTGGGGGGGTGAACCAACGGAAGGAAGACCTTTCTCTCTGTCTCTCTCTCTCTCTCACTAATTCTGCCTGTCAAAAAAAAAAAAAAAAAAAAAGACACACGCTGTGATGTTGGGGGTGATGCTCACGACTCACTCACAGGGTCAGAGAAGATGCGCACGTGGAGAAAAAAGCAAACGAGGCTTAGCGGTCGAGTCTGGGACGCGACTGCTCTTGGCGCTCTTGCTGGAACCTGTGTTCTCACTTACTTGAGAGGCAGCGAGGCAGGGAGGGCTCCCAGCTGCTGGTTTATTCACTCCCCGAATGCAACAGTGGGGGCTTGGCCAGGGCTGGATCCTGGAGCGGGGAATCAATCCAGTCCCCCACATTGTGGCCAGGACCACTGACCTGAGCCATCCCCCGCTGTCCCCCAGGGCGCGCTGGCAGGAAGCTGGAGTCAGGAGAGGCAGGTGGTTACTGACCCCAGGCACTTCTACTGGCAATGTGGGCGTCTTCACCACTAGGCTGAATGCCAGCTTTTTTAGGTTTGAAATTCCCCCCCAAATTGGTAAAATCATTATAAAATACAGATGGAACAGGAGACTGTAAAACATTGTAAAACAAAGAAGGGGCAGGCCTTGGAGATAAAACCACTGAAGTAAGGATGTGCTGTGTGCTCTGGTCTCGTCAGAAGCAGGAAACGGGATTTCTAAGAAACCAGAGAACACACCCTCCAGCGCTTCAAGCTCTCCGCGCACAGGCACAGGCGTGACTGACCGTGTTCTGTGAACGCTACAACAGTGGGTTTTACTGGCGCCCAGCTGCAAGCTCTCACTAGCTCAATCCATGCACTCAGTCTCTGGCTCGTGCAGGCTGAGCTGCTTCCCAGGTGAGCGAGGGAAGAACGGCTCCGTGCACCTGGGACCCGGCACACTTGCTCACCACGTGGGTCCCTGCGGCAGAAACGGCGTGGCAGAGCGGTGCAGAAAGCACAGTTTTGCCAGCGGGAGAAAGGCGACGCGTCACCTCGGTAGGCTTACCTGTTTCACCTGGGTAAACGTCAGGGGGTAAACACTGCTGATGGGCCCCGAGGGACACAGGACATCCAGAGCCGCCTCCACTGTCCTTAACTGAAGAGAGAAGAGCGTTCACTGCTTGTCACACGGAGCACACGACACACCAGTGGATGTGACCTAACCCCTACACACACTCAAATCTTTCAAACTCTATCCCGCATAGTTTCCCAGTCCCCCAATCTACCCCGAGTCCCAAACACTATAAATGACGGCAGGAATGAAGGAAGTTCCAGACTTGGCTATTCAGAAATACACCTGCTCAGAGAAAACAGAAAAGGTCCTTAACATGGACCAAAACCAAGTGCCCGGGGCTGCTGCCTCTGATAAGCCTCCCCACACTCACTCCCAAGTAGCTACACGAAGCCAAAGCAGTAACTGAAGACAAATGATACCACACTAGGTCAGCGGTGCTTTGACAGCTTCTCTTTATTGCAACAGTTTCACAGTTACTCCGCCCTCCTCTGTGCTCATCCAGAGCGTAATTCCCACGCCCTGCTCATTCACCAGCTGTCTGTCTCTGAGATGATCGGCTCCCCGTGGGGAGATGTGTGTGCTGACCCTCAGCACCCAGTGCCCAGCAGACACCTGTAGGCGCGCACTGTGTTCAAAGGCTCCCAGGACGCCTCCTCTGATGCAGCTGTCGCAGGAGGAGCAGCAGCTGCCAGCCAGTGCATGCCACCTGCTCCAGGTGTGACGGGGCCTGCGCCGCCGTGGCGAAGCCCCGCAACTCGCAGGGAGGCCCTGGGAAGTGCGGCCCATGAAGAGAAGCGGGAACAGCGACTCCGAGGCCAGCTGAGACGTGCAGAGCCAGGATTTGCAGTTAGGACTGGCTCCGAAGTCCAGAGTTTTCCAGGGCCCAATACTGGCTAGCGATTTTATAAACACTGCGTGGTTACCTTGCTGGTGTGTAGCACTGAGGAAGAAAAACCTCAGTAACAATTCCATCGAGACGGCCACTGAGCCTGGGTGTTCACCCTCCCAGACAACTGAAGGAAAATGCTAGAAGCTTTTGTTCTGTATAACTGTCCTGCATGCATGTGTTTCAGTTACATGCTGATTTGCTATTTGAAAGTGACATTCAGTTAACAGTGGGAAGCTGTTTCTGTTCATGCAACTGTCCTTTATGGAATACAGAACACGCTTCTGGTACTAAACTACCTTGTTTCTGCAATGCTGTTTGAATCGCTGAGTTATTTTCTGTGCCCCCAAGAAAAAACTACTCCCAGCTCTAAAACCGACCAACCAAACTTTCTTCTCAAGTAGCTATGGCAATGCACAAATAGAAAGAGCTCCCTTCACAAGTGTGATTAAAGTTTGATTAGCTAAAGATTCTATCAGCCAGAAACCACAGTCTTTGTAGAGTGTGGCCCATCTATCTGATGTTAGGTGGAAAATGTTACAAGAGCTCAGCCAATGAACCAGAATGTCAGAGGGCTTCTCGAATGGAAAAAATTCAACCATGATGTTTGGCATTTTGCTTTAAGATAAAAACTTACGATGCTATTTTAGAAGCACAAGATTCTGAAGAAATAGTAACTGTGTTTTTTATTTCTTGTGAATGAAATCATGTAGGAGTTAGGGACTGCGTAAGGGGAAAACCTGAAGACACAGAAGGTCAAAACAAATGGGCTTTGGCTTACATCACCTCCTCCACGACGCGAGAGCTCTCTTCTCTCCTATGCAAGACTCAACTAGCTTTCTCCGCTGATGCCCCACGTACCATGTGAACGATGGATCACAAAAATTAGGACATGGTTTTGAGATGGAAGGGAGTATATAACTGAAGGCAGGGACCCATCAAAGTGCCTGTGGTTTTCGGAAACCCTTAAAAAAAAAAGGTGAACCACGGCAGTCTTGCCTGCCAGAAGGAGGTGGCACGCTGTTTGGACAAAGTTTTCTGATGGTGCTTTCAACAACGATAACTGAACCCAGTGACCCAGACAGTGTAAGACGCCGCCTACTCCTGTTCACGCCCCAGTGGCTCACCCCATCAGTACATGCACACGCCTCCTCATCTCTCACCTCGTCATCTTCCCAGAAATATTAGCCATCCCCACAGAAAATGCATTCACAGAAAGATCATGAATCAATCCCCAAGCGTGATACCTCTCCCCCCTCCTCACCGCCAGTGCAATCTTGGTGTTGTTATTCTGTTTTCTTACCTTTTTCAACGGGACTGTTCCATATGCAAACTTTGGTGTGGATGGAGGAATGGGACCTTCTGGTAACGCTACAAACTATCAGGCGGAATGGAAAAGAGACAGGCTGTTACACCCAGGAACACACCCATAGCATTCATTACCAAACGCGAGATCAAAGACTCTAACACAGTACTAGTGATCTCTGGAAAGCAAAGGAACAAAGGACTTCTTCCAAAACAGCAGCTGGTAGTTCTGACCTCGAAGTCCGTGTCTGTTTTCAGCTCCAGGAATCATCCAAATCATGCTAGAACAGAGAACTTCAAAACAAAAATGGAAAAACAAGTAAAGAGAAGGAGAGTGAACACAGAAGACTGGGACGTGGGGAAGACAGGAGAAAGGTATGTGGTGAAACAAGCTCCAGGCCATGGCCCTGCGTAGGACAACGCTCAGCGCTCTGGGACTCCTGCGTCAGCGCAGACGTACGGTGCTTACAGACGGCGTTTCCACACGTTTAACAAAATGCAGAATGAAGTTGCACATGTATGTTTTATGTCTGCTGTGTTGCTTCATAAACATTAGCCATATGAAGGGCAAAGGCTCACAGTGCAGCCAGTGGTTCAGATAACAGAGGGAGAGAGGGGGAGAAGGAGAGAGAGGATGGGCACAAATGATGACGCCAACGGAAGGAAATGTGGACTTGCGTAAAGCTGGGTGAGCAACAGAGAAAACTCCTGGTGCTGTTTTTATCCTTGCAACATTTCTGGAATTCTGAAGTTTTTAAATAGTTAATAAATAAATAGAAAACCTTATTAAACACTAAATCAATCACACACACACACACTTTATGGACTCAGCAGGTCTGTGTGTTCGACGCAGGACCTGGAAAAGCCAGTGGCCCTCTGGCATCTCCAGGTAGGTTCTACTGTGATCTCTCACAATCCTTTTTTCTTTTTTAGGATTTTTTTTGCTAATTTATTTATTTTTATTTGAAAGCCAGAGAGATGGAGCTCTCCCATCCAGTGGTTCCTTCCCCAAATGCCTGTGACTCCAGGAGCTGGAAACGTCCCCGGGTGGGGGGCAGGGACTCAAGCATTTGAGCCACTGCCCGCTGCGTCTCAGGTGCACATCGCAGGAAGCTGGGATCTGGCGCGGCGCCAGGGCATTCCAGCAAGGGATCAGGTATTCCCGGCAGCATTAACAACGCTCCAAGTCCTCACCCTGCTTACTTCCATTTGTTTTCTCCTTTTTTTTTTTATTTTTTTATTTTTTTATTTTTTTATTTTTTTGACAGGCAGAGTGGACAGTGAGAGAGAGAGACAGAGAGAAAGGTCTTCTTTGCCGTTGGTTCACCCTCCAATGGCCGCCGCGGCCGGCGCGCTGCGGCCGGCGCACCGCGCTGATCCGATGGCAGGAGCCAGGAGCCAGGTGCTTTTCCTGGTCTCCCATGGGGTGCAGGGCCCAAGCACCTGGGCCATCCTCCACTGCACTCCCTGGCCACAGCAGAGAGCTGGCCTGGAAGAGGGGCAACCGGGACAGAATCCGGCGCCCCAACCGGGACTAGAACCCGGTGTGCCGGCGCCGCTAGGCGGAGGATTAGCCTAGTGAGCCGCGGCGCCGGCCTTGTTTTCTCCTTTTTATAAGTAATAACAGGGGCTGTCACTGTGGTGGAGTGGGTAAAGTTGCCGCCTGCAGTGCCGGCATCCCTTATGGGCACGGGTTCGACTCCCAGCTGCTCCTCTTCCAATCCAGCTCTCTGCTGTGGCCTGGGAAAGTGTAGAAGATGGCCCAAGTGCTTGGGCCCCTGCACCCACGTTGGAGACCTGGAAGAAGCTCCTGGCTCCTGACTTCGGATCGGCCCAGCTCGTCATTTCGGCCATCTGGGGAGTGAACCACTGCATGGAAGATTTTGCTCTCTCCCTCTGCTTCTCTCTCTGCCTTTCAAATAAATAAATAAATAAATCTTTTGAATAAAATAAAAGTGGTAACACTAATAATTAATTTAAGAGAAAAGCCTATTGCAATGAGAAGCAGAAGTCTCCTGCCTCCATTTTCTCTGTTTTCTAAATTTGAGAGGTGGAGACAGAAACAGCGAGAAACAGAGAGCTCCTGTTTGCTGGCTTCCTTCCCAAGTACCTGCAACAGCTGGACTGGGCTGAGGCTAGCGCTGGGAGCTGGGAACGCTAACCAGAGTCCCTGCCACTCAGCCAGCTGCCTGCCCCTTCTCTTAGTTCTATTCTGCAGAGGCGACTACTTTAAAATAACTTAATTCTTCCTACTTTTACATCTCTGATCTCTAAATAATACGCAGCTACTTCCAATCTGATTAGCTAAAACGTAAATGAGGTGTAGCTCAATTACCCCACCTCAGATCATTCTTCTGTGTTGCCAAATGGTCATATCAGCATTTTCAGTTTCTCTACTGGTTACTCTTATACTTTAAAATAGCACCCTCATACATTTAATTTTTACTACTAGTAATTGGGACATTGTCCTTTGTGGCGACATTTCTAAGACAAGATTGTTTTATCTGCACCTTCCCTGAGCTCACCCCATACCAACATACCCCTCGACATCATCGGCACAGCTCAAATCCTCTGTGCTGGGGTGGCGGCCAACGTGCTGGCTGGGATGCCTGCATGTCACGTCGGAGCACTTGGTTTCCGCTTCCCACTAATGTGCACCCTGGGGGCAGCAGGTGATGGTTCAAGTAGCTGGGTGCCTGCACCCACGTGGGAGACCGGGACTGAGCCAGATCCCAGCTCCGGGCCAGGGTGCTGTGGGAATCTGGAGAGTGAATCAGTGAAGGAGTCGGTTTCTGTGCCAATCAAATAAAACAAATACCATAAATAATAATAAAAAAGAAGGACATAGGCCCAGCACCGTAGCTCACTTGGCTAATCCTCCACCTGCGGTGCCGGCATCCCATATGGGCCCCGGGTTCTAGTCCCAGTTGCTCCTCTTCCAGTCCAGCTCTCTGCTGCAGCCCAGAAGGCAGTGGAGGATGACCCAAGTGCTTGGGCTCCTGCACCCACATGGGAGGCCGGGAGGAAGCACCTGGCTCCTGGCTTCAGATCAGCACAGCGCCGGCTGTAGCAGCCATTTGGTGGGGTGAATCAACGGAAGGAAGACCTTTCTCTCTTTCTCTCGCTGCCTGTAACTCTACCTGTCAAAAAAAATAAATAAAATCTTAAAAAAAAAAAAAAAAAAAAAAAAAAAAGATGGGGCCGGTGCCATGGTTCACTTGGTTAATCCTCTGCCTGCGGCGCCGGCATCCCATATGGCCACCAGGTTCTAGTCCCAGTTGCTCCTCTTCCACTCCAGCTCTCTGCTGTGGCCTGGGAGTGCGGTGGAGGATGGCCCAGGTGCTTGGGCCCTGCACCCCATGGGAGACCAGGATAAGTACCTGGCTCCTGGCTTCGGACTGGCGCAGCTCCGGCCGTAGTGGCCATTTGGGGGGTGAACCAACGAAGGAAGACTGTCGCTCCTCCTCTTCATGGAGGAACGACACAGGACCCTGCGCTGTTCTTTCGTCTGCTCGGCCCTCCCCGGGTTTGCTGCTGGTTCTTCCCGGGTTGGCTACTATCCCTTCCACCTCCGTGGAAGGGCAGTTCCCCCTGGCCACATTCCCCACTTCCGCAGGGGAGCGGCACACCGCCGGCCGGCTTTCTCGGGGGCTGCACGGGTTCCCTTAGATGTTCCCCTTAGATGTTCCTGGTGCATGCCGTCTCTCTCCTCCTTTATAGTCCTCCTCCGCCAATCCTAACTCGGCTGCCCACACGCCGAGTACGCTGCTCTCCTCCAATCAGGAGCAGGTCCTACAGTTTATTAGTTGAACTGGAGGCAGCTGTGCGGAAGCTGTTTACTTCTCTCCCAGCGCCATATTGTGGGAGAGCAGATGCATAGAATAAGTCTTAATTCCAGTAACTCAGTCTAGTCCGGGTTGCTCCCCACAGATCCCCCTTTCTTTTTATTTTTGGCGTTGATACGCGCCTGTCTTCGGTGTCCCGCGGCACACACTCTGCTCTACTTGCTAGAGTTGCCACAGGCTCTTACAAGTCCTATCAGGCAAACCGAATCCGGGTCCTCTCTTCGCCATGTTATGAGGTTTTTAGGCGCTGATGCGTGCCTGTGTTCGGTGCCCCGCAGCGCATGCTCTGCTCTGCCTGCAGGGGCTTACAAGCTCTATCAGGCAAACCGAATCCAAGCCTTCTCATTGCCTTTTTGTGGGGAGGCCTTACTGATGTTAATTCGTGCCTGTCTTCGGTGACCTGCGGCGCATAAGCTGCTAGCCGCCGCAGGTGCTCATCGTGCTCATCGCCTCACTTAATCAGGCAGACCGAATCCAAGCTCTCACATTGCAGTGTTGTAGGGAGGCCTTTCTATTTCTCTATTTCTCTATCTCCGGGCATTCCTATTTCTCCCATTTTACTTCTATCTTCCAGCATTCCTATTTCTCTCACTTTGCTTCTAAACTTCTGTTTCTCTTATCCCCGCGGTTTCCCGGCGCCCGCCTGAGGCTGCTTCTCGGCACCTTGCCCCGCGGCGGCTTCACAGCTCTGCGCGGCTTCCCGGCGCCTCGCCGGCTCTGAGCCGCTTCAGCCTCTCTCATCTGCACGGCTCGGCTTTGCGCGGCTTGGCTTCGCGCGCTCCGCGGTCTCCATGCCTTTCGCGTCTGCACCACGGCCTCGCGCCAGCCCCGTTCCCTATCTATTCACGCCCCGTGCTCTCTCTGCACGCGGCGGCTTCTGCGAGTAACACAGCGTAGCTTACGTGTCCGCCACTAGCATTCAATCTAAGTTCCCCGGGCTAGCCTGGCGAATTCAACCCAGCATACGTCTCCGCCCCACAATTTGGCTTCCCGTCCTTTGCTCCCCGGGCTAATCAGACGGATCCCAATCTGGCTTACGTTTCAGCTTCTGGTTTCAACTTTTCGCCCCCTATTCCCGGGCTAACTTGAGAATCCCAAAGTGGCTTTCGTGTCCGCCTTGGCCTGCCCCCCACGGCTTCAATTTCCCTAACAGTTTTCTCTACCCGGTATGTTTCCCCAAGTTTTCTTCCAACAATATTCCTCCCTCATTTCTCCTGGCCTCTCCCCACAGTCCGCATCCGAGTCTGTTTGTTCTAGCTTTCACTTTCGCTTTCGACCTTAGAGATTTCTCCCAGCTTCCCCCCGTAGTCCGTATCTGAATCTATGCCTAGGCTTTCAACAGCTTCTTCCGGCACCCTTTTCGTCCGGCTTTTCCCTAGGCTGTTTGCTAGTCTCTCTCTCCGGTAATTTTCCCATTTCTTCCCATTTCTTCCCTCCTAAGTTTGCTATCCGTCCTAGGTTTCCTATCCGAGTCAGGTTTCCTATCCGTCCTGGGTTTCCTATCCGAGTCACGGCACCATTATGTCGCTCCCCGTCTTCGTGGGGGAACGACACTAAACCCTGCCTAGGCTTCATATCCGAGTCACGGCACCATTATGTCGCTCCTCCTCTTCATGGAGGAACGACACAGGACCCTGCGCTGTTCTTTCGTCTGCTCGGCCCTCCCCGGGTTTACTGCTGGTTCTTCCCGGGTTGGCTACTATCCCTTCCACCTCCGTGGAAGGGCAGTTCCCCCTGGCCACATTCCCCACTTCCGCAGGGGAGCGGCACACCGCCGGCCGGCTTTCTCGGGGGCTGCACGGGTTCCCTTAGATGTTCCCCTTAGATGTTCCTGGTGCATGCCGTCTCTCTCCTCCTTTATAGTCCTCCTCCGCCAATCCCAACTCGGCTGCCCACACGCCGAGTACGCTGCTCTCCTCCAATCAGGAGCAGGTCCTACAGTTTATTAGTTGAACTGGAGGCAGCTGTGCGGAAGCTGTTTACTTCTCTCCCAGCGCCATATTGTGGGAGAGCAGATGCATAGAATAAGTCTTAATTCCAGTAACTCAGTCTAGTCCGGGTTGCTCCCCACAGAAGACCTTTCTCTCTCTCTCTCATTGTCTAACTCTGTCAAAAAAAAAAAAAAAAAAAAGACATGTGCAGGAGGTGATATGTTGTGATTCCAACTCGACTGCTATTTTTACAGCTCTATCTCACCTCCTTTACTGTTTTTTTTATATTTTAAGATTTACTTTATTTATTTGAAAGACAGAATTAGAGAGGTAGAGATAGAGAGAGAGGTCTTCCATCCGATGGTTCACTCCCCAGGTGGCCGTAATGGTTGCAGCTGCGCTGATCTGAAGCCAGGAGCCAGGAGTTTCTTCTGGGTCTCCCATGCGGGTTCAGGGGCCCAAGGACTTGGGCCATCTTCTACTGCTATCTCGGGCCATAGCAGAGAGCTGGATCAGAAGAGGAGCAGCCGGGACTAGAACCGGCTAACACTTCAGGCCAGGGCTTTAACCTGCTGCATCAGAGCGCCGGCTCCAACCTCCTTTACTGTTTTAACGACAGAGGGTGCGTTGACCCAGAATTCCAAGAACACTCCAAATTCCCTACAAAATCTTCTTTTCCATTTTCCCTCTTAGACCTTCTCATTACACACCCACCTAATGTAAATCTAAAAGATAGTTTTATAATTTCCTATCACCATTTACCAAGAACACTTTTGGCATGGCCAAATATTAACAAAAATTTTACCAATTGCATATCATGGTGCTTTAAATGGCTATGACGGAGGCCGACACTATGGTGTAGCGGGTAAAGCTGCTGCCTGCAGTGCTGGCATCCCATATGGGTGCCAATTTTAGTCCCAGCTGCTCCACTTCTGATCCAGCTCTCTGCTATGGCCTGGGAAAGCAGTGGAAGATGGCTCTAGTGCTTCAGTCCCTACACCTGCGTGGGAGACCTGCAAGAAGCTCCTGGCTTCAGATGGGTGCAGCTCCGGCTGTTGCGGCCATCAGGGAGTGACCCAGTGGACTGAAGATTTCTTTCTCTCTCTCTGCCTCTGCCTCTCTGTAACTCTGCCTTTCAAATAAATAAATAAATAAATCATAAAAATAAGTAAAAACTAAAAAAAGAAAAAAATGGCTATGACAATTTATATAACCATCCTTTCTATGTTAAGCCTTGGATTATTTCCAGTTTCGCTATAAAAAAATGTTGTGATGAAAATACTCATGCCTGTGGCATTACCCTTTTAAAAAATGTTTTATTTTTCCCCAAGTGAGGAATGACTAGGTTTAAGGATATGAAAATTGTGTATGTATGACTCCCAAAATAGCGTAACACAATTTTTCATCAAATATCCATACTTATTTATGTCTTTTATTATCTATTTGGATATTGACATTTAATCCATGTGTTTTTTATTTCAAATTTTTAAAAAGATTTTTTTATTTATTTAAGAGGTAGAGTTACAGACAGAGAGAGGGAGGGACAGAGAGAAAAGTCTTCCATCCACTGGTTCACTCCTTAGATGGCCGCAATGGCAGGAGCTGGGCTCATCTGAAGCCAGGAGTCAGGAGCTTCTTCTGGGTCTCCCACATGAGTGCAGGGGCCCAAATGCTTGGGCCATCTTCCACTGCTTTCCCAAGCCACAAGCAGAGAGCTGGATTAGAAGAGGAGCAGGGGTCAGTGCAGTGGCTCACTTAGCTAATCCTCCACCTGCAGTGCTGGCATCCCATATGGGCACCGGGTTCTAGTCCCGGTTGCTCCTCTCTGCTGTGGTCCGGGAAGGCAGTGGAGGATGGTCCAGGTGCTTGGGCTCCTGTACCTGCATGGGAGACCAGGAAGAAGCACCTGGCTCCTGGCTTCGGATCGGTTCAGCACCAGCTGTAGCAGCCATTTGGGGACTGAACCAGTGGAAGAAAGACCTTTCTCTCTCTCTCTCTGTCTATATCTCTACCTGTTAAAAAAAAAAAAAAAGAAGAAGAAGAAGAAGAAGAAGAGGAGCATCTGGGACACTAACTGGTGCCCATATGAGATGCTGCAAGCAAGTCTTAGTGTATTATGCCACAGTGCCAGCCCCCCAATCCATGTTTTTAACTCATTACAATATAACTATTAAGCAAGACTTTACCTTTCTATTCCATTTACTGCAATTTTCTGTTTTCATTTTCATTTTAGTGAATTTTCCCCACTGATACTAGTTTGAGCATACAGCAGAATCCAATTCTTCTAGCCAGGTAATTAATGATTCAGAAGAGAAATAAATATTCCAAACCTTTGTTTCTCCAGAATAATTTCTGCTTTAAGGGCCACCATGTGGCATAGCAGGTTACACTGCCACGTGTGACATCACACCCCCTATCAGAGCGCCGGTTCAAGTCCCGGCTGCTCCCTTCCAATCCAGCTCCCTGCTAGTGTGCCTGGGGAGGCAACGGAAAATGGCCCAAGTACCTGGGGTCCCTGCCACCCTTGTGGGAGACCCAGATGGAGTTGCAGGCTCCTGGCTTTGGCCTGGTCCAAAGCTGGCTGTCACAGCCTTTTGGGGAGTAAACCAGAAGATGGAAGATCTCTCTTTCTCTCTCTGTCACTCCCTCCCATTTTGTCAATCTTTCAAACAAATCAACATTTTTTTCTCCTTTCATGATGTTTTTAGGACAATCATAAATATTGATTCTCATCATACTTATTTAGCTGGGCAAATCTAACATGGCAAGTGGCCTTCTTCCCAAGGAATCCAGTAGATTTCAAGGGCAACTGGGCTTCCTTTCACCAAGATTTGAATCTTTTTCATTCATTCATCTAAGAAATATTTTTAAGAAGATATTTTGTGGACTAGGCATTTGACCCAGTGGTTAAGATGCCCATATCCCACATCAGAGTGCCTGGGTTCCACTTCTGGTCCTGGCTTCTGACCCCAGCTTCCTCTTAAAGCCTACTGGAGGCGGTGGTGTTGGCCAGATAACTAGGATCTTGCCATTCTCCGGGAGACCTGGATTAAGTTCCTGACTTCTGGCTTTTGTGCTGCCTGTCCTAGCTTCAAAGGTTGGGAGCATCTGGGGAGTCAATAGGCAGATGGGAGCTCTCTGTCTCTGTCTCTCATTCTGCCTTTCAAAAAAATACAATTAGAAAAGAAAAAGAAAAAGAAGGTACTTTGGTTAGACTTTATGCTTGGTACTAGAGATACAAACAGCTCCTAGTCTGGAGAGTGAGAAATGTGTCCTAGGGGCTGGCGCTGTGGCATAATGGGCTAAGCCGCCGGCTGCTCCACTTCTGATCCAGCTCCTCCCTGCTAATGCAGCTGGGAAAGCAGCAGAAAACTGCCCAAGTCTTTGTGTCCTGCCACTCATGTGGGAGACTCAGATGAAGCTCCAGGCTTCGGCCTGGTCCAGCCCTGGCTGTTGGGGCTATTTGGGAAGTGAAGCACCAGAGGGAAGATCTCTAAGATTTCAAAACAAAAATTTTTTTAATCTTAAAAAAAAAAAAAGTGTATTAACAATTGACCTGTGTTGCTAACTCCGCTGAGAAATGGGAAAAAAAAAAAAAAAAAAAAAAAAAAAAACCTCCCAGAAGGTGTGTCTGCATTTTCTGCATTTTCCAGGTGGATAAAGAGGGAACAGGATGTACTGGCCCAGTGCTGTCCCATTCACGGAATTTTATTCGGATCCATCGTGAAGCCACAGAGTCAAGTATAAGAAGGGAGAATTACAGGGCTATTATGACCCAAACAGCAGAGTACCAGCATAAAAACAGACATCTAGACCAATGGAACAGAAGAGAAACACAGAAATGAATCCATGCGTCTACAACCAGATGTGCTAAAAACATTCCCTGGAGAAAGAGCAGTCTCTTCAACAGACGGTGCTGAGAAAACTGGATTTCCACGTGCGGAGCTAGAAATCAGACCTCTGCCTTACATGGGGTCAAGGAGCTAATGCAAGACCTGAAACTATGAAACCACTGGAGGAAAACATGGGGGAACACTCCGAGACACTGGCAGAGACAACGAGTCTGGGTACGACCCCGGAAGCACAGACAACAAAAGCAAAAAGAGACAAACGGGATCACATCAAACCAAGACGTTTCTGAGCAGCAAAGGAAACAATCAACAGTCACCAGGTGAAGAGACGCTACACAGAATGGGTGAAGATATTTGGAAATTATGCATCTAATAAAGGGTTAATATCCAGAATCTATAAGGAGCTCAAGAAATTCAACAAGACAAAGAATCCAGTAAAGAAATGGGCAAAGGATCTGAACAGACATTTTTAAAAAGAAATATAAATGGCCAACAAACACATAAAAAAAAAGTTCACTAGCCATCAGGGAAATGCAATCAAACCCACAATGGGGTGTCATCTCACTCCAGTGAGAATGGCTATTATCCAAAAGTCAAAATAACACATGCTGTCAAGGATGTGGAGAAAAGGGTACCCTAATACAGTATTGGTGGGAATGCAAATCAATCTACCCATCATGGGAAACAGTAGGAAGTTCCATCAAAAAATTAAAAATAAGACTAGCATACGACCCAGCCACCCCACTCCTGGGAACACATCCAAAGAACGTGAAGTCAGCAGGTGAATGAGACACCTGCACTCTCCTGTTCACTGCGGCCCAGTTCACAACAGCAAAGACACGGAATCAGTCTAACTGTTCATCAGGAATCAGTCTAACTGTCCATCAACGGGCGACTGGACAAAGAACGTGGCATAGATACATGGTAGAATACTACTCGGCCATAAAAAATCAAATACTGACATTCGCAACAATGGAGTTCATGACGCTGTGTGAAACAAGTCAGACAGAGAAAGATGAACTTCATACACTGTCTTTCATATGTAGAATCATGTGTGTGTGTCTGTTATAAAAATGCATGGACATCAGATAATTTGGTATATAGATGCTTATAAGTGTTGTCTTCACTGAATTACATCCCTTGCATAATAATATATCCTTACTTTCTCACTATGTGATCTTTATCATGAATCCTATACTATGTGATATGAATATCCCTTTCAAGAAAAATAATGTGTAAGTATATGAATTACACATGGTAAGATGTTAAAAATTATTGAATCTGTGTATGCCTACTGAACTTTTCTTTATGTCTTTCTGTATTATTTGAAACAGTTTAAAAGAAAAAAGCTAAAAGAAGAAGGGGAGAACTGAAAGACAGAACTGGAAGAAGACAGCGAACCAAGTCATGGCGGGCATCTCAATCAGACGGCTGTTTTAGGGCAACAGCTCCGGGAGACGGCCTGTACAAGTCAAGTGTGGAGGTAACGGGGGCCCCAGGCCAGAGCACAAGGCTGCACCTTAGAAGACTGTCTGGGGCCACTGCCGTGGCGCAGCAGGTGAAGCCACCACTTGCAACTCCAGCATCTCATATTGGAGTGACAGTTTGAGCCCTGGCTGCTTCACTTCCAATCCAGCTCCCTGATAACGTGCTCGGGAAAGCAGTGGATGTCAGCCCAGGTTTCTGGTCCCCTGCTATATGGGACCTATGTGGGACCGGGATGGAGTGCCAGGCTCCTGGCTTTGGTCTGGCCCAGCCCTGGTGTTATGGCCATGTGAAGAGTAAAAGAGAAGACGGAAGATCTCTTTCTGTCTTGTCCTATCACTCTGCCTTCCAAATAAACAGAAACACTACCTAACGTTTGTTAATTAATATTCATTTCTTCAACTGTCATTATCAGGCATAGCACCCCATGTTTCAACCATTACGTGGGTCAGCAAGAGACAGCAGGGAGTTCGTGTCTATCCTCCGAGCCAATGCCATTCCAGCCATAAAGGACAACCAGAGTGAGGACTAATCCTAGACCAAGTCCCAAACTCCATAAGCGCTGAAAATCACTGTGGCTGTTCTCCCATCTCTGCTGTCCCACCCAGGCTTAGCCCAGGGCCTGGGCCACCGCTTAGCCTCTACACCGACCATCTCTGAAAGGCCACCTGCACTTTCAGCTCTGCTGGAATCCCTATGATAAACACACAAAACCCTCAAAAAGGGTCTGAAGTCATTCAAAGGCATCTAAAAATAAGTTCATCACCGCCCCTGTAGAGAAAGAATTGGAGGAAAGGAGGAGGGCACTGGCCTATAGCTTGGTGGCTCATTCTCGAGGTTAAAGTGTTAACCATGTCTGGTTCAGTTTTACCCACACCAAAGAGGCTGCCTTAGAAATGCAAATGTTAGGAGCTCTGCTTGCTTGACGCTTCATACGTGAGGGGATGCCAGAGGCCTTCAGCACTCAGCACAGCTTAGCAGTCCCAAGAGTCCGCCTCCCTGAAGGATGCTGTCCACCACCTACACCTACAGTATTCTCAGAATGGACTGAAGAGCACACACGCCCCACTTGTAAGACTTTGGTGAAGGAAGGAGCCAGGCAGAGCTACACATGGGGGCAGTTACCCCCCCTTTTTTTTAAGGTTTATTTATTTATTTGAAAGAGTTCTAAAGAAAGAGAGCCAGAGCGAAAGCAAGTGAGAGCGAGCGAGTGAGCGAGCGAGCGAGAATATGAATGAATCTATCTTCCATCCCTTGGTTCATTCCCCAGATGGTTGCAATGGCTGGCACTGGGCCAGGCTAAAGCCAGGCGCTTCTTTCGGGTCTCCCATGTGGGTGCAGGGGCCCAAGCACTTGGGTGGTTCTCCCCCCCTCCCCCGCTGCTTTCCCAGGTGCATTAGCAGGAAGTTTTTCCTCCTCCTTGTCCGCTTTCATCAGCACAGACTTAACTCCCTTATACCCAGACACCTGCTGGGACCTGAGCTCCCAAAATTTGTTACCAGCGTGACAAGCAATCAGGACTTCACAGAGACCCCACTGCCAGGGGCCCCTCAAGAAGCAAGGGTTCCGTTTCCAGGTGGTGGATCTGCAGTTGATAATTCTGCCATTTTCACTGCATTTCCTGAAGATCAGGGTCAGCTTCTGAAAAGCTGTTAAACGACATGCTAAATGCGAATGTCAACCTCACTCCAAACTCCCCCTGTTCAGGATGATGAAGGCTCTACGAAGGCTCCCTGGGGCTCTGCAGCGGCTTTCTGATTTGGGTCGTCCATTGAAGAAGGGAGCCGAATGCTGCCGCATACTGTTGACGACTGTCTGCCCATGTCCTGCCTGAAATGTCATAATTGCTTATGAAAAGAATCTTTCTTTGTCTCTTCCTCTCTCTCCCTGTAACGCTACCTTTCAAATAAAATAAGTAAAAAAAATTTTTTTTAAAGAATCTTTAGGGGCCAATGCTGTGGCGTAGTGGGTAATACCGCCGCCTGCAGCACCAGCGTCCCATATGGGCACTGGGCTGAGTCCCGGCTGCTCCTCTTCAAACCCAGCTCTCTGCTACGGCCTGGGAAAGCAGTGGAGGATGGCCCAAGTCCTTGGACCGCTGCACCTGCGTGGGAGACCCGGAGGAAGCTCCTGGCTCCTGGCTTTGGATCAGCGCAGCTCCGGCCATTGTGGCCATTTGGGGAGTGAACCAACGGATGGAAGACCTCTCTCTCTCTGTGCCTCTGCCTTTTGTAACTTTCCCTTTCAAATCAAATCAATAAATCTTTTTTTAAAAAGAGAATCTTTAATAAAGCTGAATACAGTTTGGCTTGGAAAAAGCAAACCTTGTACTTATACACAATGGAATACTACCCAGCCATAAAAGGACAAACTCTTGCCATTTGCAACAGCATGGATGGAAACGGAGACCATTCTGTTAAGTGAAATGGGCCAAGCACAGAAAGACAAGGCCCACGCAATCTCACTCACGTGGAGTCCAAAACACAGGTGACCGCACAGTGCAGCGGGGGCTACCAGGGGCTGCAGAAAGGAGGAGGGACGACTGGATGTGCAAGGTTACTACAGAAACCAAGTAGCAGCCAGATGGCAGTGGGAAGTTCTGGGTTTCTACTGCACAGTGCAGTGGCTAAACACAATGTTAAAATACTACATATTTCTTAACAAGAAAATAAAACTTAGAAGATGGGATTTTGAATTTTTCACCATAAAAAACGCTAAATGCTTGAGTAAGTGGATATATTTACCCTGACTGAACGTTACACAAATAATACATGGATCAAAATACCACATGGTACCCCTTAAGTCAGTCCTATTTTTACATGTCTGTTTAAAAGATGCTTTAAATAAATAAGTACTTTTTAAAAGGAAAGAATGAGTCCACTGAATCTTTTATAAGTAGCTCATTTCTCGCTTCCAGACTTGAAGTATCAAAGAAAAAAATGGGGGTGGGGGTGGGGGTAGGGATACAGCCACTCATTAAGATGCAGTAACTTTGGGGCCAGTGCCGTGGCTCACTTGGTTAATTCTCCACCTGTGGCGCCGGCATCCCATATGGGCGCTGGGTTCTAGTCCTGGTTGTTCCTCTTCCAGTCCAGCTCTCTGCTGTGGCCCAGGAGTGCAGTGGAGGATGGCCCAGGTGCTTGGGCCCTGCACCCCATGGGAGACCAAGAGGAAGCATCTGGCTCCTGGCTTCGGATCGGCGCAGCACTGGCCGTGGTGGCCTTTTTGGGGGGTGAACCAATGGAAGGAAGACCTTTCTCTCTGTCTTTCTAACTATATCTCTACCTGTCAAATAAATTAAAAAAAAAAAGATGCAGTAACTTATAAGCTACTGAATCACAAACCGTCTGACTTACAATTTCTCAACTTTATGGCTGGGTTTATCAGGACCTAAGTAGAGAGCATCATTTCTAAAGTCTCCTTTCTTTTTTCTTTTTTCTTTTTTTTTTTTGACAGGCAGAGTGGACAGTGAGAAAGACAGACAGAGAGAAAGGTCTTCCTTTTCTATTGGCTCACCCCCCAATGGCCGCTGCGGTTGGAGCGCTGTGGCTGGCGCATCGCGCCGATCCTAAGCCAGGAGCCAGGTGCTTCTCCTGGTCTCCCATGGGATGCAGGGCCCAAGCACTTGGGCCATCCTCCACTGCCCTCCCGGGCCACAGCAGAGAGCTGGTAGTCTCCTTTCTAAGTTCCGCTCTCTCTGATCCCTGGTTTGTCTTTTGCTGAGTCCACTGGCCTTCCCCTTAGCTCACCTCATGCGTTCTCAGGCTCTCCTTGGACTCGGGCCTCTACCTCCACTCATGTCGCCGGCACCCGTGCCGTCCTGCAGCCTTCTCCTGGGGCTTCTCTTAAGTGCTGGTCGCTCCTGGACAGATGCCTCCCCCTGGATGTCCCCAGAGGCACGGTGAGCAGCACCAGCCCAGAACTGAAACTGCTTCCCTCTCTCCGTGTCTGTGCCTCCTCTGCAATCCCCCATCTTGGTTGCTGACCTCAGGACTCATCTGGTTATCCAATTAAGGGTATAACCTGTACAGATCAACATCTGCACAGAGTCAGTCACCAAGTCCTACCAAGTTCACCTCCTAACTATGCTTCTCCTCCACTCCCTGCTGGCCCCGCCGTCGCCTCACGTCCAGCCGCCTACCTCGCCTTCTGCATCCAGAATGCCCCAAGGAAGGGTAAGAGCAGTGTGACCAGCACGGCCGTGCTTCTGTAAAACTGGCAAAGGCGCCATGAGTTAACAGCAGGCTTCTTTAGGACCTGTGTTGCTTTCCTCTGTCACGGGTCTCCTAACGTCAGAAGGATTTACAACGGCTACTGGCATCTTTGGACTCCAACTACAGAGCAGCTGACGTAGGGATTCTTTAACCTGGGCATTGCAGGAAATACTGATAGACCTCACTATCCCCCCACCCCCCCTTTCTTTTTGGAAAGAAGAGCAGCTCTCTCTCGAAGCCTGAGCAGGGGTTGAGCAGACATCAGAGTCGAGTCACAGCTGCTTTCTTTTTTTTTTATTTTATTTTTTTAATTTTTTGACAGGCAGAGTGGACAGTGAGAGAGAGAGAGAGAGAGAGAGAGAGAAAGGTCTTCCTTTGCCGTTGGTTCACCCTCCAATGGTCGCCACAGCCGGTGCTGCGGCCAGCGCACTGCGCTGATCCGAAGCCAGGAGCAAGGTGCTTCTCCTGGTCTCCCATGGGGTGCGGGGCCCAAGCACTTGGGCCATCCTCCACTGCACTCCCAGGCCACAGCAGAGAGCTGGCCTGGAAGAGGGGCAACCAGGACAGAATGCGGCGCCCCGACCGGGACTAGAACCCGGTGTGCCGGTGCCGCAAGGCGGAGGATTAGCCTAGTGCGCCGCGGCACCGGCCTGAATTGTGTTTTTAAAAAGGGCTGATTTGGAAAATTTCATTATATATGTATTTAAATTTGTATTTATTTTCATCTTATTCAAGAGGCAGAGGGAGAGAGACAGACAGGTGGAGAGGAATTTTCAATCTGCTGCTTCACTCCCCAAAGCTTGCAACAGCCAGGGCTGGGCCAGGCTAAGGACAGGAGGCAGGAGCTCCATCTGGGTCTCCCACGCAGGTGGCAGGGACTCAAGCACTTGAGCCATTAGCTGCTGCCTGCCAGGGTGTGCACTGGCAGGAAGTTGGATCAGAAAGGAACGAGTGGGACTTGACCCGGGCATTCCAATATGGGATGCAGCTCTTAACTGCTGCCAACTCCTACCCCATTATATACATACATACACATATATACACTTCACCATAATTTTAAAAATTAATAACATATCGAAAACATTACATTGTGGATTTTATAAGGATGAGTGGTGTGGTATGTGAATTACAATGCAATGCTTTATCTTTTTAGAAAGTAAACAAGCACAGCTGGCTTGTGAAAGGAGGTCAGTCCGCGGGGCACAGCAGGTTAAGCCACCACTTGGAATGCCCGCATCCGGTATGAGAACACCTAGGATGAAAACCCACCCCTGCTTCTCATCCGGCTTCCTGCAATGTGCCTGGGAGGCACCAGATGCTGGCCCAAGCCCTTGAGTTCCTGCCACCTATGTGGGAGGCCTTCACAGAGCTCCTGGCTTCTGCCTTTTGCCTGGCCCAGCTCCAGCTGTTTGTGGGCTTCCGGAGAGTGAACCAACAGATAGATCTCTACCCATTACTCTGCCTCCTTTCAAATAAAATGAAAATAAACGACTTTAAACACCTGGCCCCCTGCCACCCAAGGAGGAGACCAGGATAGAGTTCCTGTCTCTCGGCTTCAGTCTGACCCAGATCTGGCTCTTGTAGCCATCTGGGGAGTGAGGCAGTGGATGGAAGACCTCTCTGTGTCTCTCTCACACTCCTTTTCAAATAAATATATAAACTTTTTTTTTTTTTAAAGAAGTCTACAGGCACTAAAATCAACTCAAATAAATCAGCATTTCTAGCTGATTTGATAAAAGACACCAAAAATAAACATGGAAAGTGAACTCCGGCCTAGGGAAAGCTGTTGGTATTCACAGCACAGTCTCTGTAGCAGATACCCTCTGGGTCTGCACGCTGGACAGGGGCCAGCAGGACGGCAGGACAAGACCAACTCAGCAATGGCAACTGCCACGGTTACTCAAGCTCACTGTCCACAGAGACTGCGGATGAGCGGCACAGATTTCCAGAGGAGGTTCTAGCTCAAACTTGACAATTCAGAATGAGGTACGTGAACGCCAACAGCAGTGTGAATACTCGTGCATATTGTCCCCCGAGAAGTGCAGGGCACTCCGCGCAGACGTGGTGGGAGGACCTCGCCTTGCTGGGGGCAAGCTCTGCGCCTTGTCGCGTCCCTCTCCACAGCCTCTCCGCTCTGTGACTCTGCCCTCACGTAGCACTGGGTGATTTCCCAAGGCGAAGGCTAACAGTGTTAAGAGAGCCAAATCGCACATTGGCCAGTTTTGCTAGAAAACAGTTTCTCTTTGGGAGAACTCTGGAGGAAGAGGGTTAACAAGAAGAATGTAAGTTCATCTCCTCTGTGAGCCCCTGGTGCACTCATGGTTTAACACAGGACCCGACAGACAAGTGCTAGATAAAGGTCTGTATAATTAAGCAAATCCACAGGCCTCAGAAAAGTTACTTGTGCAACGCATGTCCCACGCTGTGAAGGTGTGAGCAGTTCTGGACAACAAGTCATGGGAAGATCTGGGACATCTCTTAGGGTTAAGCAGTCCTCCGAAAGTAGCTTTCTGCTCACAAATCTCCCTGGGGAAACATCGGACCAGATGTTTTAAAGTATCTGTTCAGAGGCAGATACCAAAACAGAAAAAAGTCAAGTGGTTACAATTCAAAAAAAAAAAAAAAAAAAAAAAGGAGGGGGTACACAGCATGAAGTAAATCTGAAATTCGGTGCTGGTTTCCCCAGCGTGGTGTTTGTCAGTTCACAGAGGCCAGTG